CGCCTCTTGTTCCGAAAAAGGTACACGCCTGTCAACATTCATCGTTCATTAAAAAAGTGGTAGATACAAAACGCTTCGTATTGTAAGGCCAAAATATATTTAGACATCGAAATATTCATAAAAACAAAAAAATCATATGAGTGAGATAACTACCAAATTAATGATTTACAAGTTTATTCCTATTATTTATAAAATAGGTTTGCAATGTGCTGGTGTGGAATGTTATCATCGACTAAAAACTTTAAATCTTTGTATTAAATTGATCGAAAACAAACTATAAATTGGTTTAGGCTATATAGAATGTTTCTAGTAAGCAGCAACTAATTTTTATTATGGAACCGAAAGACCCTTTTAAAAGGGTTCAAAATTAAAATAAAATATGTACCAAGTAAATGTAGTAGTATTTTTTAATTTTTTAATTTATATTGAAAATGGTAACATGAAAGGTTTTCTGTCTAACGACTCATAGTCTCGGCTGACAAAATGTAAAAAAATATCGAACATAATATTCCTGGGCCCTATTTTGCACTCCCCAGATTAAATTTAGTTGTAGCAAATGATATTATCAAATAAGATGTCAAATCACAAGCAAAATCTCGTGACTACAGTACTAATGATTGCCTGTTTGGAAAAGTATCTTTGTTTGTAAATATTTATATGCATAGTTATATTTAAATGCGCGAGTGTAATGTTAAGTATAAACAAAATCCGCCCATTATGTATATACGTTTAGTTACCGACCCTAGTAGATAGGCAATTTGTTATTGTTTTAAGTTTTACCGTAGGGAGAGAGAAAATCAATATTAGGATAAATGGTCCAGCTTTCTGGTTACGTAGGTACCTAAAAAGTATTTTAGTTTTTGGTTAAGTAATTAATTATTGTAACAGTGATTTTCTTGTGATAGTACCTAATTTAGATTGTGGATTAAAGTTTTTGTATATAATTTCGCTGTTTAATAATAAACGTAGTCAAAACCGGAGCACGTGGTTTTTCTGGAAAGTATTTTTAAAATCACAAGCAAAATCTCATGACTACTGTACTAATGATTGCCGAAAATTAACTAATTCACATTTTATGCCATATCTTTCTTAATAAGGACTGTCAGAACCATATTTACCTTAACTTGAAATTTTTTTAATCGTTTTTTGTATAGAATCATCTCTAAAAATGTATGATTGAAATATCGTGCGAACTATTTGTTCGATCAATAAAAAAACTTGCACCGGTCCTGTTCGCGCCAGCACCGTTATACGCATGAGCTCCGACACACTATTTTCTCCTTATGGTTTCATTTTTGATATATGGAATCGGCTTTCTATACTATTTCTATGCTTTTTAGTGCATATTTTTCAATTTTAGTGTTCTGACGACTCTAATAAAATCGTTTATTTTAAAAGATTTTAATTATGTTATTTATTTGGTTCTAATTACATATCCCCGAAAAATTAATGAATTTTTTATGGCCAATGGAAAAAGAGATTGAAACAACGTGTAAATCTTAAATTATTTATTAAAAAATAGGTATTTAAACAGGTAAATGTTTCATTCATGCATTAAGTCCTTTAATTTACGTGTACCTTGTTTGATTTTTATTGAACCTTGACTTTTTAAATCCCTATTCTTAAATTTTAATATATAAAATATTTTACTACAAAACCACAAAAAATCTTAACAAAAACACAATAAAAGAGCACTAATAAATCCACAACAACGAATTCCTATATCAGCTGCCAGACTAAAGTGAAAGGGGTTGTTTACTCAGATAAACAATTTATCTGAGGTTGTTTACATCTTTAGAAGACGTCTTGCCTCTCTATTTCGCGTCGGCGCACTAGAATTCGGTTCCCCAGCTGTCGCTACTCAACGGTTAATATACTTTGGTGACGCATTCATTTGAATTTTGGTAACTTTAATTATGATTGGCTACCACTGTACATATTCAAGCCAGTGCCGTAACTTATTTCTATTGTAATAAAAATTGAATATTATGATTCATGAGCTGATACAGTTCATCAATTTTCTAGAGGCTTTCGACGGCTAGACAGAGAAAGCACTACTGACAGGCATCCCGACGGATTTACGCAATGAAAGTACACTCTGCGCATCAAGTATTTCACTATTTCATTCAGTCGTAAATGTCAGATGTAAATTTCGCTAAAATATTTCTTTTATTTTCGTTTGTGTTTTTTGCTCATTACAGTTTAATAGAACCTAAGTATGGAGTTTAATAGCAAATTAAGAGGCCGCGTGATTAACAGTCAATCTCGCGAAATAATAGCCAATGTTATAGAGTTTATGAGAAGAGAAGGAAACTTTAATTCACCTTCAATACCATTTAAAAATGTAAATGATCGTATTGCTGCAGCCACAGGAGTATCTAAAAACACTGTCGTCCGCATTTCTGGAGAGAAAAAAAGAATCGATAACCGTGAGATATCGAAATTTTCATCACCAAGAAAAACCATTAAAAAACCAAAAACAGTTAATGATATAGATGAAGCTGCACAAGAATCAAATTTTATTTTTTTATTATTAGATAGCTATTTTTGTTTCTGAGTTGTGTTCATTTACAGGCTCAATTTTTTTCCGTTTCTCCTTTTTGATTTTATATGGGGTTTCAAGTTGTTTTTGACTTATTTCGACGTAAATCACAACAACACACTTTTTTAATAAAGCAAACATGTGTTAAGAGGTATATGTACGTGTAAACTACAATTACAAAAAATTGATATGAAACCCATGAAACCACCAACAAAAATGTAAAGCTAGCTTCCGTACTAGAACATGGTGTCATTCGTCGAGATAATTTATCGTTTTGTTTAATAGATCAAGAAATGTAAATATTCCCATTATTTTTTATAAAATTATAAGAGAAATAAATTTTTTTCTAAATAGTATAGTTTATTATTTTGTAGAAAAACAAAATTTCGAAAATTTTAGTAATGTTTCAGAAACAACCGTTATTAATAATAGGTACCATTTTCCTTAATAAGGTAGAAATAAAATATAAACTATTTCCACGATTTACAAAGGCCTACAAAAAAATTATAGGTATTTTCCGCTATCCTATAAAATTTATATTTTCTGACTCAATTTCAAAAGGTTGAAGGAATTCCAAAACACCTTTTATGGCATAATAATTATTTTCAATTCTACATACTATCTTTAGCTGCTTTTAAAAACGTTCTAAGAAAGTCCAATCAGACCAATTTAATCCCTAAACTATTCCACACTTTTAAAATTTAATTACCTAAAAATATTAAAAACTATTTAAAATAACTTGTTTAGCAGACTGTACAATAGCTATCTTAGTCACACGTAGCGCGTTCTCTGTCTGGGCGTCGAACACCTCTAGAAATTTGATGAACTATGTTACTAAGAATTCGTTAGTGGTGATAACAAGTGCAAATCTCAATTATATACTGTTGTGATTCAGTTAATCAGTGTGATTAGTAATTTTTTAAGGTAAGTTAACCGTTAACTTAGCGAATATACGAAATTAGAGTATTTTGATCAGTATGTAGTGTATAGTACAGGCGGGAGTACCTCAGGGATCAGTACTGTCGCAACACTTGTACTCCATTCCATGACATACCAATGGGTCATAATGGATTACAAACGGCACTGTACGCTGATGACATCTGCTTGTACAAGAGCAATCACTCGGCCGAACGAGCAGTCAGAAGCCTGGACATCCATATGAACAGGAGGTTAATCCCCTATCTAGTCAAGAATAAAATGAAAATCAACCCACTGAAAACCGAAAGCATGCTCATCACAAAAAGATGGTCTCGGGGCATACAACGACCCCTAAAATTTGATGACACAGAAATCACTACATGCAAGATCATGAAATATCTGGGTTTGACCTTCGATCTCCATATAAAAGATAGGGTAGCCCAAAATCAGGCCGCAATTAGAACTCTATACCCAATACTAAGTAGGAAAAGTAGAGTAACGAAAAAAAATAAACTTCTACTCTATAAAACTATATTAAGACCCATCATGACATATGGATGTCCAGTCTTTTGTTCAATGACCAACTCACACTATAAAAAATTACAAGTAGCTCAAAATAGATATCTTCGGCTAGCTCTGGAGTATGATCGTTATGCCAGAATAGACGAAATGCACAGACAGACATAAATACCACTAATCAAAGACTTAATCCTCAATACAGCCGAAAATTTCTACAAGCGGTGCCTTCCTGATAATGTAAGGGATGATATACTCAGCATCTATCGGGGAGACAACCTTGCGTAGAAAACACGGCTGTATTCACGCAAGATTTTATCCCACAATGCTAACACAACCGGTAGTGTAGATAATGCCCTACCGAGTGGTGAATTGAGTAGCCACACGCGGGGGTGTGCATCTACACCTCCTGTTGCAAAAATAGATAACAAGCGACAGAGAACAAGAATCCACAGTGATCCGAGAATTAGAATTGAAGTCAATAACAGCGATACGCCTCAGGAAGTAAACCAAAATATCCTGAAATACGACTCCAACCAAACCACCTCAGAAGAAGACAATAGAGGAGTTAGACCCCGAAATGACATATATGACAACCTTCCACACTCCCCTAATAGCCGGTTCATAGCTAGGTCAAAGGAGGACAGAGCTAGATATGAAATGGAAACGGACATAAAATCGCAGAACAGCAAAAACGATGACCACTTCGTGAAGCCGAGGAAATTCAGTTCGAATTTTCACAAACTGGTGCGTGAAAAGACGATAAACACACTCACACCTACCAAAAATAAATATGATGTCCTTACAGATGAATCAGACAAGGAGTCTGTTGAAGATGATATAGGCAAGATAGTGAAGAAGCGTAAGAAGGGCGCAAACTTCAGACCTCTCAATCTAGATGATCTTCCCAAAAATCCAGCACCGACACAGACAAATAATAACGCTGATGAAACCTCTAAAACAGCGACGCAAATAGCCAAAACTGGCAATAGAAATAAAATAACAATGCCACCAATTGTCATCGATGGCAAAACGAAAAATCAAACAGAACTTATCAGAGACATTAAAGCCTACAGGGGAATTCTCAGTTAAGCACACTAACTACACGACAATCATTTTCGTTGAAAATAAGGAAGATCGAAATATCAAGAGTGAGAAAATGCCATTTCATACTTACACAGCAAGGAAGGACAAATCTCACGCCTTCGTCTTAAGGGGCCTTGCTGAGGGTACAAAAATCGAGCACATAAGAGAAAATTTGGAAGAGGAACATGAGATTGTGGCCAGAGACATATTTCCCATGAAAACCAAAGAAAGACCGCTATATTTAATTGTCACAGATCCAGTTATGACACTGGACTATTTAAACAAAAATGTAAGACTTGTGCTGTACACTAGAGTCACATGGGAGCTACGCAAATCAGTCAAACTAATTATCCAGTGTCATAACTGCCAACAGTGGGGACACGCCACGTCCAACTGTGGTAGGCCAGCAAAATGCTTAAAATGCGCAGGAGAGCATCATACAAAAACCTGCCTAAAAACGCGCGAAACTCCAGCGACCTGTGCTAATTGCGATGGAGACCATCCCGCAAAACTATACTAAATGTGAAAGCTATCTTGCCAGACTTGAGAGACTAGAGAAAAGGAGACCGAAAGTACTTCAGAAACTAGTCCCCACCCCCATACCTGCCTTTAACCAATGGGAGGCCAGAAATCGAAATATTCACACTCAACAGTAAAGGAGCAGCACTGATTCGGGGCCATTCCTTATGTAAATTAACATGGGAAATCTCTAAGGTTCATTCTGCCAATTTTTGACGGTGACGTCACACGTCGGGAATCATCAACTAACTTGTCGAACCACCAACGGTGGAGTGGGGAAAGCGGGGTAGTGGGGAGTGGGGCTTTTTGTTCTACGCAAAAATTCTCTTGTACGTTAATCTATACCACGTTCTCTACATAACCCCGTTTTCCCCGTTTAAATCGGACCAACGATAGCTGAGATATACGCTAAGGCCCTTCTGGCTTTTCGTTCTACGCAAAAATTCTATTCAACGTTAATCTATACTTCGTTCTCTACATAACCCCGGTTTTTTCTGTTTAAATCGGACCAATAACCGTGAAGTTACACGCTAAGGCCCTTCTGGCTTTTCGTTCTACGCAAAAATTCTATTCGACGTTAAACGAAATTTAAGCTTAAAATTGATATTAGAAGCTTAAACTCGGTGAGATTTTTTTTGCAATATGTAGATATGGAGATACGAAAAAAAAAAACTTTACGAAAATAAATCACCCTAATATTCACATAATATACGTTTTTTCATTGAAACAAACGTTTATTAGCATTATAAATATAATGCATTCACGTTATTTTATTATATGCTTGCATGTTAACTTTTTCTAGCCTACCTACACCTGACTCAGCAAGATCCGTTTTCCTTCCATCCATAGTCATAGATAAATGGTTAATAATGGAAAGTATGCCAGTTATGAGGTCAATTAATGTCCGATTAATACACGGTTAAAGGAAAAATATATAAAGTTGATTTCACATAAAATGCGCACAGAAAAAAAACAAATAGGTTTTGTTTATATAGCTATAGATGCAAAATAAATAGCGCAACTATCTAACCATTAATTCTAATTATTATTAGAAAAGTTTAAATAAAAAGACTCACCAATTTGAAGCCTCTCATTCATCCTAAAACAACGTACAAGAAATGTCAATGGAAATAAAAATGGACTAAAAATAATAAGATAGATCGCACGCAACCTTATTACAAAAATTTAATTTTTTTTGAGATAATACCATAAATCTGATTGGCAAACAACTCTACACCAAACTGAAAATTGTTATAGATTAGTTTAAAAGTCAAAATACAATCAAAATAACCTCAAAGCCATGCGTTACAATTATTGTTATTATTTTGATTGTATTTTACACTTTGGTTTTATTTGAGTTTGGAATTACTTCTTTTTTTAGTTTAAATTGACTCATCTAAACTGCGACTATTCATTTTTGAGGTTTTGACGTAAGATTGTTTACTAATCACATTTATGGTTAATTCTGAGTTATGTCACTTTTGAAGTAAAGGTGCGATGTAATAATTTCTTTACAGAAGCTAAATATAAATCAAAAGACTCACCATTTGAAGATACTCATTCCACTTTTATCCTCTGTCCCATTTGTTCCAATATTTTTTACAGCTTCTTTAATAGAATATCCCGATTACGCGTCCGGAAATCTTCTACCCCCGCCGATATTAATAATCATCGTTCATATTCATTTCTATATCAACCCTTCGATACAAAGATATATCTCTGGGTATTATATCTGCAGCCTCGTCCATTTAATCCAAGAAGGTACATCCCAAGATCGAAGATCAATATTAACCATCAAAGAACATACATTCTAGGATTAAACGTCTTTATTGTCAGAATGAAATGAACATGAGCTCAGACCAATAATATCGTGCTACCTATTGATTCGAGAATTTTCGGCGATTTAAATTTTTTTACGGAAATTTGCTGAAAATAAAAACAAGAATCAATAGGAATTTTTAAAAATTTCGAATGGAAAATATATTTATTGTAGTAAAAACTTTTATTACAATTGAGGAACTTAAATAATAAAACATACCAATTAAAAAAATAAAAATTTTCAGGAACATCATTAAAGTTTTATTTAATAATATATTTTTTTTGTAGTTCTTGGATTTTTAGGTGTTTGTAGAAAATGAAACTCATGTGTATGGTTTCATTTTCTACAAACACCTAAAAACCCAAGAATTACTAGAAAAAAAACTATAAATTAAGGTGTAAGAATTTTAGAAAAGAAAACAGAGACTTCCCTTTGTAAAGTACCAATATTTAACACCAAGAGTGTGAATGTATGAAGTAAAATACTCTATAACATTCGAGTTTCCATAAAAAGATTAAATAAGTAGTATGAAGTATTTTTTATACGATTTATCGTTTATATTTCTTTTTGGTTTTTATTATCAATTTTTATTATTTTTCAGTTTTATTTTTTAATAGTTAGTATTCGTTCAAATATTGTACAGGGCGGTTGAATATTTCTAAAAACTGATCGGTATCTAGATCAAGATCAACCGCGTATGTATTATATTAGTGCTAAATTGTGATCGAAAATAAATAAAAAATAAAGAAAATAATAAAAATAAACAAGTAAAACTTCTTATGGCATAAAAAATATGGAAAGTTAATTGATAAAAATGACATATCTCGATGATATTTAAAATTATAAAATAAAAACAGAAATTTTTGTAATAAGTTAAAATTTATTTTTATAATAAATGTCATCAAAAAATTTAATGAAAAATTTGTTAATTTATTGTATATTTTTTTAAATATATTTTTATTTATTTTTAATCATTTTTACTTCTTATTTATTTTTTTTTATTTTTATTTATTTTTATTCATTTTTACTTATTTTTATTTATTTTTATTTATTTTTATTTATTTTTGTTTATTTTTATTCATTTTTATTTATTTTTATTTATTTTTATTTATTTTTATTTATTTTTATTTATTTTTATTTATTATTTTTATTTATTTTTATTTATTTTTATTTATTTTTATTTATTTTTATTTATTTTTATTTATTTTTATTTATTTTTATTTATTTTTATTTATTTTTATTTATTTTTATTTATTTTTATTTATTTTTATTTATTTTTATTTATTTTTATTTATTTTTATTTATTTTTATTTATTTTTATTTATTTTTATTTATTTTTATTTATTTTTATTTATTTTTATTTATTTTTATTTATTTTTATTTATTTTTATTTATTTTTATTTATTTTTATTTATTTTTATTTATTTTTATTTATTTTTATTTATTTTTATTTATTTTTATTTATTTTTATTTATTTTTATTTATTTTTATTTATTTTTATTTATTTTTATTTATTTTTATTTATTTTTATTTATTTTTCTTTATTTTTATTTATTTTTATTTAGTTTTATTTATTTTTATTTATTTTTATTTATTTTTATTTATTTTTATTTATTTTTATTTATTTTTATTTATTTTTATTTATTTTTATTTATTTTTATTTATTTTTATTTATTTTTATTTATTTTTATTTATTTTTATTTATTTTTATTTATTTTTATTTATTTTTATTTATTTTTATTTATTTTTATTTATTTTTATTTATTTTTATTTATTTTTATTTATTTTTATTTATTTTTATTTATTTTTATTTATTTTTATTTATTTTTATTTATTTTTATTTATTTTTATTTATTTTTATTTATTTTTATTTATTTTTATTTATTTTTATTTATTTTTATTTATTTTTATTTATTTTTATTTATTTTTATTTATTTTTATTTATTTTTATTTATTTTTATTTATTTTTATTTATTTTTATTTATTTTTATTTATTTTTATTTATTTTTATTTATTTTTATTTATTTTTATTTATTTTTATTTATTTTTATTTATTTTTATTTATTTTTATTTATTTTTATTTATTTTTATTTATTTTTATTTATTTTTATTTATTTTTATTTATTTTTATTTATTTTTATTTATTTTTTTTTATTTTTTTTTTATTTTTATTTATTCCTATTTATTTTTATTTATTCCTATTTATTTTTATTTATTTTTAATTATTTTTATTTATTTTTATTTATTTATTTTTATTTATTTTTATTTATTTTTATTTATTTTTATTTATTTTTATTTATTTTTATTTATTTTTATTTATTTTTATTTATTTTTATTTATTTTTATTTATTTTTATTTATTTTTATTTATTTTTATTTATTTTTATTTATTTTTATTTATTTTTATTTATTTTTATTTATTTTTATTTATTTTTATTTATTTTTATTTATTTTTATTTATTTTTATTTATTTTTATTTATTTTTATTTATTTTTATTTATTTTTATTTATTTTTATTTATTTTTATTTATTTTTATTTATTTTTATTTATTTTTATTTATTTTTATTTATTTTTATTTATTTTTATTTATTTTTATTTATTTTTATTTATTTTTATTTATTTTTATTTATTTTTATTTATTTTTATTTATTTTTATTTATTTTTATTTATTTTTATTTATTTTTATTTATTTTTATTTATTTTTATTTATTTTTATTTATTTTTATTTATTTTTATTTATTTTTATTTATTTTTATTTATTTTTATTTATTTTTATTTATTTTTATTTATTTTTATTTATTTTTATTTATTTTTATTTATTTTTATTTATTTTTATTTATTTTTATTTATTTTTATTTATTTTTATTTATTTTTATTTATTTTTATTTATTTTTATTTATTTTTATTTATTTTTATTTATTTTTATTTATTTTTATTTATTTTTATTTATTTTTATTTATTTTTATTTATTTTTATTTATATTTATTTATATTTATTTATTTTTAAACAGTATTCAAGATCAACCGTCTTTTTGATTCCCCTCTATAGAATGCAATACATAGTAACTGTTATTAATTTGGAGAATATTTTCTTGCTAAAGTTAAAATTAAAATAAATTTTTCACTAATTTATGTAAGTAATAATAATTAAATGGAAATAGTTTAATTACTTATATTAATACG